AATGGGGTCATGAAAATTAGTTACATCCACGTTCCTACTCCAGAAAATGGTGGTCGTCGTACAAATCGGGTAGTGAATGAGACTATGGACCAATGGCTACAGAGAATGGTGGACCACAAAACCATATTTTCACCTGACAATACCAGGGACTCCATGTGCTTGGCACGGAGTATATTTGTGGCCAAGTCTAGAAAGGGTCTTCACAGGTCCTCGTTCTCACGGCTGAAGAAGCCTGAGTCAGGGGAACAGCAAAAGGGGGCTGAGGCCTTGTGTGAAAAAGCGCACATTGGTTACGATCAAGCCTGTGGTCTAGATGAAATAAGAAGGATGCAGGATATACTGCCTGATTATCGACTCTGTGTTTTCACTGACAAGCATGGTAAAGAGTGCATATTCAAGGGCCCTTATAATGCAACGCGTCAGAACTTGTACCTCCTCTTGCACAAGGAACACTTTTCGGCTATACTCTATCCCTGCCAGGCATTCGAAGTTCATTTTGAATGCCAAAAATGCGTGGCTTTTTACAACAACCACACAGATCACCGTTGTGAGGGTTCGTGCTGGCGTTGTTTTGGCGAGACGGTCCACGATGACCCCACCATTCCCCTTGTACGATGCCCCGACTGTCGGCATCAGTTCTCAGGTGATGAGTGTTTGAGGTTTCACAAAACTGTGAAAATGAGGAACTCTAATCACACAAAATGTCAAGTCTTTCGGTTCTGCACCAATTGCTCCAAGAGCTATAACGTTTTGAAGTCAGCAAAACATGTATGTAATTTTGTTTATTGTAAAAACTGTAAAGAGAATGTCAAGGAGAATCACCTTTGCTACATGAGTGGATGGACTGAGCCAGAGAAAAAGAAAAAGTGGAACTATGTAACGGTGTTCTATGACATTGAAACTACTCAATGTGATCCTGTTGAGGGGAAAGCAAACACATTTGAGCACAAACCGAACCTGCTCGTTTCACAAGCAGTGTGTGATGATTGCACCAATGTGCCAGGAAACGATCATTTCTGCACGGTGTGTAAAACCAGGCAACAGGTATTCCACAACTTGGATGACCCTGACGCTAATGTTATGGGCTTGTTTCTGGACTATCTCCAATCTTTTGGACCTAAGACAAGCGTTTTGATAGTGGCACACAATGCAAAGGCTTTCGATGCCATTTTTGTTCTCCAGGAGTTAGTGAAGCGGGATTTGAAACCAGATCTTATTCTGAACGGTGCTAAAATCCTGTGCATGAAGATCGGCAATTGGAAATTTATTGATTCTCTTATGTTTCTTCCAATGCCCCTCAGCTGTATGCCTAAGTCATTTGGGTTTTCTGAGCTCAAGAAAGGGTACTGGCCCTTCTTAGCTAATAAACCAGAGTATTACAATTATGAAGGGCCCCTCCTTGACAGAGACCTTTACTGTGTGTCAGGCATGAAGTCAAAGGGCGCCAATGACTTTGATGCATGGTACGATGCCCAGGTCGCTGGAAAGTACATCTTCAACTTCCGAAGGGAGTTAATTGAATATTGTATATCTGATGTGACGATTCTGCGTCATTCGTGCCAAGCTTTTCGAAAGCTTTTTCAAGAGGTTGCTGGGTTTGACCCAATGCTTCATTGTATTACCCTTAGCAGTGCTTGCATGGCGGCCTTTCGTCGGAATTTCTTGACTGCCAACATGATAGGTCTTGTGCCTCCGGGAGGCTATCATGGTCGGGGTAGGCAAAGTCACATTGCTTTAAAGTGGCTTGATTTTGAGGCCTACAAACTTGGCAAGGTCATAAAGACTATTTACACTGACCGTGAGGTCCGTGTTATGGGGAGGGCAGTGGATGGTTACATTGAGATCCCTCAACCTGATGGCAGTACTGAGCGCCGCATTTATCAATTTCACGGGTGCTATTGGCACCAGTGCCCCGAACACTTCCCTGCTAACGAAGACGACGTGGAAAACAAATACCAAAAAACTCTAAAGATCACAGCTATGTTCCGCAAACAGGGCTATGTTGTGATAGAGAAGTGGGAATGTCAGTTTAAATTGGACCTTGTCAATGACCCCGAAGTCAAGGTCTTCTTTGAGAACCATCCAACCACACGCACTCCCCCTCTGCATCTACGAGACGGCCTGGCGGGTGGACGCACTAGTGCTCTTAAATGGCACTATCAAGTCAAACCAGGGGAGAAAATCAAATTGGTGGATGTGATTTCAGAATACCCTAATGCTAATCTTCGGGCAGAGTATCCAGTAGGCCACCCTGAAATCCATTTAGAGGGATCTCCTGAGATGCCACCCCCAGATTTCTGGAATGGCATGATAAAATGCACTGTGTTACCCCCAAAAGACCTTTACCTGCCGGTTCTCCCATACAAATGTAATGGAAAACTCCTTTTTCCACTCTGTCGCACATGCGCTGAGAACGAGTGCACAGAAATTTGTCAACACGCACCCCCAGAGAGACAGATGATGGGTTCTTGGTGTGCACCAGAGCTTCTCTACGCTCTCAGGGAGAAGAACTACCGGCTCCTTGCCACCCACGAAGTATACCAGTACCCAGCCACATCCCAGTACGATCCTGAGACACGACAGGATGGGCTGCTTTCTGCGTATGTCAGGTGCTTCATGGCCCTGAAGATACAGGCCAGTGGATGGCCTGTCGACTGTGACACTGATGAGCTCAAAGCCAAGTTTGTGGAAGATACCTTGAAACACGATGGGGTCATCATAGACCCCGCAAAGATGATTAAGAACCCCGCCCTGCGCACTTTAGCAAAACTAATGTGTAACAGTTTTTGGGGGAAGTTCGGAGAAAAAACGCTTCGACCCAAGACAGAGCTGATCAAGGAACATGACGCATTGCTTGAACTGATATCAGACCCTCGTAAAACCGTGACTGCCCTTCTCCCTCTTAGCGAGACCTTACTGCAGGTCACATGGCAGCCAGTAGAGGATTCAGAGGAATCCCTACCTACATCCTCCCTCATACACGCTGCCTTTACGACGTGTCATGGTCGTCTTCAATTATACAAGTACTTGGACGAGGTAAAGGACCGCGCACTTTACCACGATACTGACAGTGTGGCGTACATCAGTCGGCCTGACCAGCCAGAACTTCGCCTTGGAACCCACTTGGGTGATCTAACAGACCAAATAGAGGAAGATTACGGTCCAAATTCGTACATCACCGAGTTTGTTGCTGGCGGTCCCAAAAATTATGCGTACAAGGTCGCTGTAGGTGGGGATACAAACAACATAAAAGTTTGCATTAAAGTCCGGGGAATTTCTATTAACAAGTCCTGTGACTCACTGGTTACTTTTGAGAGGCTTAAGTCAATGGTAATGGGGGAAAGAGACAAAACAACTGTCCCAATTCCTCTCCAAATAACCCGATTGCCTACTTGGAAGGTGGTCACGCGCCCTACGACCAAGAATTGGCAGGCCAAAAACACGAAGAGGCGGCGTGTTGACCTGGCTAACACAGTCCCCCACGGTTTTAATGCCTGGTCTGAAGCCGATGAGGAGGATCAAGGACTCCTAGAAGTCATGGGCTTCATGGCAACTGATTAAGTCGACATGAAATGAAGAAGAAGCAAGCTGCTTCTTTGCGCAAGGGAGGAGCAGGCTGGCCCTATAAAAGTAACCCACACCTTAAGGTGACCATCAGTCTTCACGATGGACCTCAGATTTCAACATCCTTGCACTGCCCTCGTGGTGGGTGGAACGGGAAGTGGCAAAACATTTTTCATAAAACGCCTCATTGAAAATAGAGACGAAATGTTCAATGTTAAATTTGAACAAATTATTTTCTATTACTCTGAGTGGCAGCCTCTGTATGACGAGCTAAAAGACAAGGTCGATTTCAGACAAGAACTTCCTGTCCTGGACGACCACCCAACTGGACAAGGGCCCAAGCTTATTGTGATTGACGATTTTATGGACGAGATTAAGTCTCACCACAAGGAAATCTTTAAGTTCTTCATTAAGGGTAGCCATCACAGAAACCTTTTTATTTCTTATTTATTTCTTAAGTCAGTGTCTTTTTCCTGATGGTCTAAGGCAAATCAGTCTCAATACACACTATATCGTGATTTTCAAAACAAGTCGAGACGTGGCACAGGTGCGCACATTCTGTATGCAGGTTGACCCTACTCATTTCCGAGCCCTACTACAGGCTTATCACGACGCCACTCGTGCTGGCTTTACATACCTGTTATTTGATTTCAAGCCCAATCAAAAAGACCATTTGCGCATGCGCACTCTGATTTTTCCCGGCGAGTCCACAGTCGTTTACATTCCCAAGGGAAAGTATAAAAGGGAGATGGATACGTTGGTCTGAATCAGTCGTTGACAATGGCTCCTGCCGATAGGACACACAGTAAAGCTGTGCTTCAGGTCCTCCGTTCAGCTAAACCTAATCTACGCAAGGCTATTATAAATAGTTCTGACAAAGCGATCATCTACGCTATTTGTGAGATCTGTGATAACTTGCTGAGTGGTAACATTCCACTTACTGCCAGTCAGAAGTCTAAACTTCACAGGTATCGTGCAACTATCAGAGAACTCGCACAAAGGGGTAAAGGTCTAAAGGCAAAGAAAGAAAAGATTCAAAAGGGGGGCACATTTCTTCCTCTTTTGCTTTCCACGGTGGCATCTGTCCTTCCTAGTCTCTTTAAATGAATCATGTCAAGAAAATGATTCTTGTGCCGCACGAGAGTGTGGCCAGGATGAACGACCCTATGCCATCCACTGCTCAAATTCAAACGAGTTCACTTGACGCAGAAATGGATCTTATTATGAAACAAAAATACGCTAGTGACGACGAAAAATGGAAGCACTACAATGATGCTCTACAGCGCTATCTCTTTTTCACAAAGGAACGACACAAACCTCTTCAAATTTCAGTCGAGAATTTTACAGAGTCTCACGAAAGTGAAGAGTTGATTCGTCAACAACTTGAGACAGCCCTCCCAAAATCATATAAAGCCTCTGCCCTTAGAATTTTTGATTATCTAAGCCAAGCTGACTCCAAAGTCACGTGGGACTCCACGGGTACCGTATCCATAAACAAGCAAACGGTTCCTAACTCTAACATCATTGATCTTATATCAGACCTCACAAGAGCTCGAAAAAACTTTGAACCAGTAGGGGTTTCGCCTTTCATTAAAGCACTAGCTGCTATAAATATTCCTCTCGAACTCATACAGAACTCCAATAGAAGGGCCGATATTATTTCGGCTCGTACTCAGAGCGGTTCTGGTATTAGACCTGTACTAACCAGTTCTGTCACAACATTTAATAAGGTAAAAACACCTAAGGGTCTTCTTGTTAAACAAAACAAAACACAAAAACAAGTGAAAAGAAATGCCTGGAAATCTTGGTAAAGTATACCACGATCCTGCCCACCCTGCCTCATATGGTACAGCATGGAAACTATGGAATGCTACAGGCGAGAAAAAAGAAAAAACAGTTCAGTTTTTGGAAGGGGAAGATGCATACACACTGCACAAACCGGCAAGGCGTCGTTTCTCTCGTAATGTCACTTATGCGGATAATATTGATGACAGTTGGCAGACAGACTTGTCAGATTTCCAGTCCTTGAAAGACGATAACAAGGGTTTCACGTTTATTTTGTGCGTCATTGACACATTTTCAAAATTTGGCTGGGCCGTGCCTCTGAAAGATAAGTCTGCACAGTCCATCATTAATGGATTTGAAACTATTTTCAAAAGTACAACACGCAGACCGACTCGTCTTTTTTCTGACAAGGGGAAAGAGTACATTAATAAGTCGTTTCAAAAATTTCTTAAAGACAATTACATTACATACATTCACACACATAATCCCGACATCAAGTGTTCAGTGGTGGAGCGCTGGCAGCGCACCATCAAGTCCAAACTGTTTAAGCGATTCACTCACACTGGTAATTACAATTATGTCGATGGCCTTCTCGCAGATGTAGTTAAAGCCTACAACCACACTTACCATCGAGCAATTAAAATGAGACCGATTGACGTGACGTCCGATCGTGTGTTGGAAGTATATAATAATCTGTACCATGGACTTCAGCTCACTAATAAGAAAACAAAATTTAAAGTGGGTGATCATGTCCGAATCAGTCGAGAAAAACAAACGTTCGAGAAAGGGTATACGTGGAACTGGAGTGAGGAGATATTTAAAATCGTTCAGGTCATTCCTCATTCGCTGCCAGTGTACAGGCTGGAAGATCTCGATAAGGATCCGATTCAGGGCACGTTTTATGAGGCAGAACTTCAGAAGGTCACGAAGTCCGAGGCATTCAAAATAGCATATATAGTGCGCTCAAAAGGTAAAAAGGGTAATCGTCAACACCTCGTCCACTGGAGAGGTTATCCTGAAAAAAGTCGCTCTTGGATTTTTGATTCAGATCTAGTATGATGGATTTCTACGCCTTTCTACCTAGTAACGCAAGTCCTGCTGTCTATCCAGACAATAAAACTTCACATTTTAAAACTGAGCTCTCTCAGCGCATGGAACTGCATGGAGAATGGCAGGCAGCCCTTATAGAACTTCACTACCCAAACACAATAGCCCAGGTCGTAGAGGGAGAGAATGAAATTACTGTCGTGACTGACAGTATCGTCGATACGGTAGCGGTCAAGCCTGGCTCTTATAGCTCTGTCACTGATTTTCTCATATGCTTGAGCGATGCACTACGAACCTTTGAGAACAATGAAGTCGGAAGCAAAACATACTTTAAGCTTCTCTCCGATCAGAGAATTACATTTTTCCCATTCCATATGGGCGAACAAACCAAAGTTCATTTTTCACCTCGCCTATCACTTCAACTAGGGCTAGAACACCCTGGTCCGTATGCTGCCGCTGAAAATTTTTCGGGAGTTAAACCGATTGACATAAGTCTCGGTGTCCCCGCTCAGATGTTTGTCTACATGGACATTTTATCAGATCAAATTATTGGCCACACACGAGCACCACTGCTCCGTACGGTTCCCGTAGATATCAAAGCACAATACGGTAGCATGTCTGTCGTACACTTCGACCACCCTCTCTATTTCGATCTCCGCACGCGCTCATTCGACACAGTTGAGATCTATATAAGAGACCATGCGGGGCGCTATGTACCATTTGATTTCGGAACGTCAACCTTATT